GTGTGTGTGTGTGTGTGTGTGTGTTAGAGCTTTCCCAGAATCCCCTGAGAAAAGGGAGGGCAGGCCTGGGCTTCTGTGAGTGAGGGGAATCCTCAGAATTCCCTAGGGTGGGGAGAGGAGTGGTTTGGGTTCTGGGTGGGTGGGGGGCTTTGTCCCAGTGGGCCCCTGTGGGCCATGGAAACTTGGTCACCCTGCTGCATCCCCACAGTGTCCTGGCAGAAGGATGGGTTGGCGCTGCGCAGTGATGGCCACCTTCTCATCCGGGCTGAGGGTGAGCGGCATACCCTGCTGCTCCGGGAGGCCCGGACAGCTGATGCCGGGAACTACAAAGCTACCGCTACCAACGAGCTGGGCCAGGCCAGCTGTGCTGCCACGCTGGCTGTGAAACCTGGTAGGGAATCTGTGGGCCCCAGGGCCGGGTGGGGTGAGCAGTGACTCTTCCCTGTGGGCCCAGGTTCCCTTCCCACTCAACCTAGAGCTCAACTTTCAACTATCGTGCATAGTCTGTTCTCTGGTGTCCACTGCTCTGGTGGAAGCATTTTAAATGGCCTTGGCCTCAGGGCAGAGGCCAAATTCCCAAGGCACACGCCAAGCTGGCCAATTCATGAAGTCACTGAAATTTGTCTTTAGGCATCCTCTAAATGCCATCCTTTCACGGCATTTCCCTGAACAGGGTCCTGTGGGGAAAGCAAATTATCCTTGAGTCTCAGAGAAAAAGAATCTCCGGGCTCGAAGGGCTTAAAAGCCATCAGGAACCTTCTGAGGTCACTTCCTTTTTAGAACAACCCCCTGTCCCCTTAAAGGAGATGCTTTTAAGTGCTTCCTCCCCTCCCCTGCTCCTTCTGTTGAACCCAGAGCTCCAAAGAGGGTGCAGTTGAGACCACCTCTTGGGAGTGGCAGTGGCTTGTTTTCTATTTTTATGAAAGTCCTCACTTGGTGTTGGACTACTTCCTTTGGATTTAAGCCCAGTTTCTTTCAGGTTCAGGCTAGGGCTGGACTGGTGTCCATGTACATGGCCAGTTCAACTTGTTCAGGTTGCTTGGCCTGACAATGTGCTGACCCTGGGCAGTTGGGGTTGGGGGGAAATGAGGCTGGGGAAGGGACATTCCAGAAGGAAAAGATGCAGACTCAACCCTCAAGGAGATTATCACTGAATGATGAACTCCATCAGAGCACTCAGGTTGGAGGAAAGTGCAGGGCAGATGAATCCTGTGCCTAGGTGGTCGAGCAGTGGGTCAGTGTGGAGGGATGCTGGATTGAGAGACATCGGGGCCCTGAAGGAGGCTGGGATTTAGACCGGCTGTGGGAGGGGCCCGGCATGCTAGGAGGGGAAAAAGCACACGCTGTTCTGTCCCTTTCTTTTACTCGGCCCTGCTGGTGACAAGATTACAGAGCCTGTCTTGCTGCTGTTTTAGGGCCTTAGCACCTTCATGATTAGGGAGTTCTTGGTGGTATATGACCCGAATCCAAGTCCTACTTTACACCCGTATGGTTGTACCTGTCTCACTTTGCAGAATGACAGGTCTTAGCTTACAGACCCCTCCCAGGAGCTCAGGTCTTAGGCTCTCTCCTTGCCCTCGCCGCTCCCACCTCAATGAATCATACCTTTCCCTCTACTGTGTGCTTTCCTTCCATCACCTCTGGGATCTGCTTCTGATTCAGCTCCCAGCTCCCCTTAGGGGGCCCAGGCTTGGCTCCAGGACTCCGGTCAATACCTGGTTGGGACTGAGATTTGGCAAGGAGTGAGGAGGGGTGCCCCAGTACTGGCTCGGGCCCATTTGGGAGCCTTTTATGGTTGGGAAGGAGGGTTGGGACAAGGCAGCTGTCTGCACTTGTCTTGCCTTTGCCTGCTGCACCTCCCTGCGTTTGTTTCCTCATTTGTAAACCAGAGATAATTATACTATTCACACAAAAGAAAGCAAATGTGTGAACGAGCTTTATGAACTGTAAAGCTGTAGACAAATGTTGGTTGGAGCTCAGGTTTCCTAGGAGGCTCTGGAAGCTGTCTTCCTTTTCTTCCCTTTTTTCCTACTGTCTGTGCCTTGGGGTCTCCCCGCCGCCCCTTACCAGGCCTGTAGCCCCCAGCCCCCTATATTTCCCAGCCTTTCATAGCATCTCTGTGCCTCTCCATCCTGGGGAGCCAGGGCATGCACCCAGAGAGCACCTCCTAAAAGTCAGACTGGCTCCAGGGCTCCAGGGCTTGAGGGGCAGGCACGTGGGTCCAGACTCAGCTCTTGTGGAGGAAGCAGACTTTCTTACCCTACAAGGCTCTGTTTGGTCCAGAGCAGCTGGATGGAGGCCAGTGGACGGGAGAGCAGCAAGAGTGGGTGGAACCAGTGGGTGGCACAGACATTTGGCAAAGGCCGGGGTCCCAGGCCTGGAGTTTGTAAGGAGTGAGGGGGTGGGGCTAGGGAAGGGTATTTGGCAGTGTGGCTGTGGGTGGGGTAGGAGTAGGTTGAGAGAAGGAGTGTCTAGTGTCTTTTGGGAAGAGGCCTTGTGGAACCACCTCCTTTTCTTGCTCCTTACCGACCCCTTTGGTAGCCAGGACTGGCTGCCCAGTGACCTCTTGGGGTGCCTACCCCAACAAGACCTGCTTTTGAAGACCCACAGATCCCAATTCTTGGTTGGGAACCACTGGGACAGGGAATCGGTAACTAGAGAATGTAGTTACCCTGGTGCTGTGGTCTGGGGGGCCCAGTCTGTTCTCACCAGCTCTGGCAGCCCCACCCAGCCCTGGATCCCTCCCA